GTGGTGTGTGGATGTGGGTGTGGGTGTGGTGAGTGGGTGTGGTGAATGTGTGTGGGTGTTAGTTATCTCTTGGTTCCCGTTCACGCTTGACATCCACACCCACGCACACCCACGCACACCCACGCACACCCACCCACACCCACACGCACCCACCCACACCCACAGCCACACCCATACACAGCCACAGCCACACCCACACCGACTCACACCCACGCCCTCGCTGAGGTTATGCGCATGAAATGCATAAGCATCAGGAGCAAGAACCGCGTACACTATGAACAAATCTTGAGGGCTGTGCATTTCATGCGCATAAGAAAGAACACTGTGTGCAACTAAGGGTAGTTTCGAGTTTCAATCACTTCCTAGACGGAACATTTTTCACTTGAGAATAAGTTCGACTTATGAAAATATATTTACTGCTTTTAATCACGATATTAATGAAGTTCTTTCTTTCATGCACGTGGATATCTTGAGATTCTTGAACAAGAAAGTGATGTGCTATGGACAAACCTTGAGGTCTGGATAGATCAAGCATGCGAAAAACAAGTTCGCCTAGGAAATGATTTTCCTCAATAGTTTAATGTAGATTTTTCAACCATGTGATAAAGCAGTGAAGCTTTGACATCGACTTCTATGAGATTTTCAGGACAAGAGTGAGGATCATAGAGATTAAGTATGAATTTCGGGAACATCATTTGTGATCATAAAATTCCGAGCATTACAGGGGAGTCCGGGATTTTCATGAATTCTCGTAGGATTCCTGTTGAATTCCCGAGATTCTCAGAATTCTACTGGAATCCACGGAATCCCATGGGAATCTGGAATCCGCCGTTGCCCCCTTGGTAAAAAGCAACAATCGTATTTGAATTGTTACTAATATCAAAAATAAACTGTCAACATTGTTATGGCAACTACATAGTCTACATAATGCTAGTTAATTCAGAAGTATGCTATATTTAGTAAGGTGACAGTATCAACAATAAAAAGAAGAAGAGATGAAAGGAAAACACATTCGATCTATTACTTCATAAACAATAGCGCATTACTAATACCAGCTAGGATGTAACACACTTTCAAGACTGTCGTACCATGAAGAATTGATTAATATTCAGTATCACTATCTCAAGTTCTATGTGTTTATGACTTGATGAGACTCTGAAGAAGTTTTTGTCAATTTCAAACTAAAGCGCTATTATTTTTGTGAAACACGATCTGAAAGGAGTGTGGAAGTGTTTAGGAATAGAAATTTGCACCCCTCTCCCCACAGATCGTGACAGACGAATTTACTAATTAATTAAGTAATAGAGTAATTAATTAATTAATAGTTAATATTTCGTTAGAAAATCGCTGAAGACCCATCACAGACGGGCTTCATACACGTCACAGACCGTGATAGACGGGTCATCAAGAGCGTCACAGACCGTGACAGACAGGGTCTGGACCCATCACAGACCGTGACAGAGAATCCTCGTACCCATCATAGACTGTGACAGAGAATCTTTCTACTCATCACAGACCGTGACAGAAAAACTGTAGTTCTAAAGCATCAGATAAACGGTTAGCTACAAATGTATCGCAAAGAAATGGAACAAAACAATTTCCATTTAATTAGTAACAATAGATCCATCGCGTTTCACATTTTTAATCTCGCAAGGGATTGCGCTAACAGCTTTTTGCTAAATAAATCATCTTGTACAAATTATTACACAACAAAAACTATATGATATTATTGATGAACTATGAAAGAAACGTTCTAAAATAAACATAATCGATATATTTTTTTTCTGATTATCAAATTAATAACCAGACGACATTCAAAAATCAGAATATATAGTTCGAATATTTTCTATCCAGTCAATTTTAATGGAAAATTAAAACTAATCCAAAAACAAAGAGAACAAAAATATTAACAGTAATTCTCTTTTTCTGGAGCCCACATTGATTTCATTATTGGTTCCAATTGTTGGTTTTGAGTTGGTAAAGCTGTACGTATAAACTTATCAATTTTCACTTCAACTATTTGAAAGTATAACATATTAGTGATGAACGAACTAAATAATTGTACAGACTTTTGATAACTAGAACAACGCGAACATATATAACGCCATAATAATTCAACATAAAAATTTTGAACAATTAAAATATTCCGAGTAGAATTCTCATCGTCATTTTCGATTAGATTTCTTTCATATCGAATATTCATATGTGTTGATAACATAAGAACAATAATAAATAGTCTAATTAAAATTGGATCATGAACAAAAGGAGAAAGAGCTATACCGTTTGCGCGAATATCTATATATAAGTCTTCAGGAAATATATGTAAAAAAACAGGTGAATCTTTGTCAAGATCAGGAGTAACAGTTTTCATAATATATGTGCTATGTACACGAACTATTTGATTAAGATTACTTTTAATTAGTGACATTTTAGCATTTACAGGTAATGAATTGAATTCTGGTATAGATTTAAGATAACAAATTAAACCCATATAAATATTGGCGGAAGCATTCATAAATTTTGGTAAAGTTAATGTTTCATTAACTGGCATACTTAAATGTTCTTTATAAGTAAATAGTTTACATGTTCTTTCATATGCATAAAATATATTGGTAAGGATAGAATGATCATTAGATGATAGAAATGAAGAATACGTTTGGAAATTCATCAATGATCCATTACATTGAATCTAAGAGAAGAAATTACTATAAGAAAAATGTGTAGATTTAAGTAAAAGAAAAAATACCAATTTTTGTCTATGTATAATTTGCAATGCTTTTTTGTCGCTATATTTCTTTTCTGTTCGTTTTTGTCGATTAAATTCAATTAATCGAATTCTTTCTAATCGTTGATCATCAGAACGGATAGCTTTTCGATCCATACCAACGCGAAAACATTTTGCTAAACGACAACAATTACATTGTCGACGTGTATCATTTGTTATTGGACAATCACCATCCTCTCGACATCGAAATTCATATGTCTAAAGTAGAAAAGAAAAAAGAGTATTAAGCAAATTTGTCTTTCCTAAAATATAACAGCATACACCAAGTTTAACAGCATTTCGTCGAAAAAATACTTTACATGGTGAACACGATGGAACGCCAAAATTTAAACCAATCGATTTACCTCCACAAACAAGACATTTATCATCATCTCTTCTTGTTTTCTTTCTTCCTGGTTTGGAGCGAAATTCAAAATTCATTAATATAAATTTGACTAAAAATAGAAATACAATATTTCATCATACATAAAAACGCCTATTTTTATATAAAATGTCATTTTCTTTCCACGAGATAAAAAACACGTCGTGAAGTGTCAGATGGTAAAATACATTGACGTTTTTTCTCTTTCTCTCGAGATATTTTTTCTTTGCATATGAATGCTTCGCTTAGCCATCGACAGAAAAATTTGTTGAGTTGAAATATTAATTAATTTATTAAAGAAACGAACTTTGATCATCATTGTTTGTTGATAGTTAAAATTAGTCGTACAACCCATTATAAATAGGAACATAATGCTTGATAGTTTTTGTTTTGAAAAATTAATTATCTTTTATTGTTATTTTAGATATGGTGTTTTTTATATTCTATCAAGTGCAAACAAAAGAAAATGTTGTCCAGCGAGGACTATTTGCAAAATACAAAGGTTTGCCAGAAAGAAAACGAAAAGGAAACGAGAAAGATTGTAGGTGAAAGTCAAAATAACAAGAAAAATCTATAGTGTGAACTTTATCGTTCACTTTATGCTCTAAAAAACAAGAAAAAATTCTGCGAAACTAAAAATAAATACTTAGCATCACATTAATAAGATAAAATATTAATTTAGCACTATTTGTCAATAAAAGAAATTTAATATCGGAAGCTCCATGAATGACTAAAAACCATTACATTAAGTCTGATTCATATGTTTGATCCACATAGATCCCAAATACTTTTTAAAAGAGAATTGTTTTAGAATTATGATAATAGCTTTGAAACAAGGATTTTATCAATTTGATAAATAAACGTACATCAATGTTTCTTTCTCATCTTATACAGATTTATTTTTTCTGTTGCATAATTGCTGTTTAGTTGTTGTTGATAAATAGTGCTTTCATATGCATTGACTAAATATTGACAGCTATGTGTCAATTGTTTATTAATATAAAGTAAACTATTTTCATTTTATTAATAATCGCTAAGCTCTCTTTATTTTTTTATAAGATGTTTAGAAGAACTACTGTATAGATTTTGAATAATTTAAATCTGAAAAAACTGTTCTTCTCTTGTATGATCACTTTTTAAAATGAACTTTCAACAGCTTTTCACTTTTGACAAGCGATATTTTTTTAAATATGCTTCTACTACGACACTAACTGATGTTATATTAGCAGCTTTTCATTATTAGTCGGTAATCTGCTTCTCTGCATTTCATGGTCTAAGCTTGCTATCGTTACAGTCTGTTATTAATTTATCTATTCTCTGCGCAAGTCAAACATATCTTGATGATACGTTAAGAGGATATTCTTGTATTATTTGCACGAAAATGCATTTCTTTTCTATGAATTTACATATGACTATTGAGCTTTCGTCTTAAAAATTTTTATTCTATAAAACTTTTTCAGATTTTATAAGAGGTTGTATTTATATATACTTAGCCAAGATTATTCGAGCATTTTTTTTCAAATTCATGTTTTCATTTTCATTATTTTATTATATTCTTAAATATTCATTCTTTCTTATTTCTATTTACGTATATTTGACGTCAAAATAACGATATGCCTGCTGAAAATCTCACGCTTTTTTTATCTGAAAGCATTCATTAAGTGATGTTTACCATCGAAATAAGATAAGAAAGTAATTCATTACAAACATGATAAGTAGTTAGAATACAGAGACGTCCTATTAAACCGTTCTTGAAATCAGTTTAATGCTTTTGCTGTAAAAGAAGGACATAAATTGATAAACCAATCAACCTTAGTCACAAGAAAGAAAATAGTTTTCCAGCTAATCCCATAGGATAAGAAATTTTACTCAACTTTTATATGTTCATTATTCCAAGAGTAAGAATATAAAGATCCATTGGTTTATCGTTATACATAGAGAAAACGATCAAATACATGCCAAATGAATGCTTTCCTTATATGAACTGATAAAAAGAAAAAAAGGACGGTAAGGACACTTTTTTGTCATTATTTTTTTTACATGAAACAACTTAGAGACAGCGAGTCAATCATTGGAAACATAGTTTTCAATTCAGTTTTGAAAATGCTGCCCAATTGGTTTCATTCGATCTGTACGTATTCTGTTATTCTTGAAACGCAACTCAATGGAATCATAGGCATCACTGTCAATTAACAGATAATGAAACTATGACGCAATGAGTTAGTGATGATTGAAGCAGGATCCATCTATGTAATAAAGGAATGAGAAGCAAAACAGAATGGATGACAATGAATGGATTAAGAAGGTGTGTCTGATGATGAATAAATGAGTGAAATATGATAACTAGCGTGAAAGAAATATTAGACTACAAGAATGAACGCGACTAAGAGTTAAGCAAACAGTGAAGTTGCAAACATGAATAAAGACATGCGCAACAGAAACAATAAGAGACCATAGGTAGCGTCTAGTACCTCCACATCTTGGTCCGAAGTTGACTGACAACGTTTTATCTCTTTGCCACAACAAGTACATCGTTCGATACAGAATTTCACGCGGATGATCAATATTACTTCTAAGGTTTGAAAGTACTCGACTTTGTCTTTGTAAATTAGCTTGTTCTATTACAATCCTATTTCAAAAAAAAGTTTTATTTTGATAATCACTTGACTTTGTAAACAAATCTGAGATAGTCAAACATGTTTTTACGCAGAATATTTATGAGCTATCCGGCATATGAGAAATGACAATGATAAGAACTTGAGTTTCGTTTCATTGGAACTTCTAGCTGAAAACTTAGTAGCGAACTGTTCGTGTCTTGTAAATCGGCAACTTTTTCTGCTTGATAATTCGATTTTTATTGAAAATATTAAATGTATACACATAGATGTATGTATATGGGAAAAAGCGGATTTTTCTTTGTTGACTTTAAAACTGAATTCGAAACTGAAAATAAAACTGGGAAATGTTTATATTGAATAAAACTTTGAAAAGTTTGTTTTTCTGTTTGTTTTCATTTGACTATGGCTTTAAATCAAATTCAAGTTCCAATTTTAGCACGACATTTAGAGTCGATAGCAAAACTGGATTAGTGATACATTTTATTTCATCTTAGAAACTAAATTCGTCATCAAACATTCAGTTGACATGGTACTGAGCAAAAGTAGAGAAAGGAAATGGCAAAAATATTGCTAATAAAGTGTCTAATAAGTTTGAAGCCGTGCAAAATGTAGAGAAAATTTGTAGTTAAACCTACCTACAAGAGTGCGGGCATCTTTACAAGCAATCTATCTTCCTACTGTCTCGTAAAAAGTGTACAAGCGTGTGTGCGTCAATAGATAAAGATTGACTGTGCAAGAATTTATATTGTATGTTGAATTAGACGTATCGTATAAATACCTGATATTTGAGTATTTTATTTTGCATGTTTTTGCTGTTCTAAGATAAGCGAAAAAAAAAATAAGCATAAGTTTCTTTTTCTATAGATATAATTTACAACAACCAACTCTCAATCTGGTCATTTTATCGCCACCATCATTGACTCTTCCGATCGTTTTTATATATCCCATCATCTGGCTGGTGTCACAGAACTTGACTGTTTATTTTGTCATGCTCAAACAATTTTATTAGTGTTAACATTAAAATATTGTTTATTTTCTTTCACTTTAATATATTATTCATAAAAGTCTCTTCAGAATATTGATTAGACTAAATTTAACTTATATAATAAAATCACTTTTCCGAAAGAACATGAAAAACATTCAGTCTCTCATTATGAATCTGTTTTATCGAATATTATAAAAAAAAATATATTCAATAGCATGTGAAAAAGACGTAAGTTATGTAAGATTCTAAAAAGATGTGTAGATGTAGAGTACTTCTTGCTTACACAAAGAACTTCATAACATAAATTGTGAATAATGTGTTAATCAATAATGAGAACAATTCCTCATATCATAAACAAAGTTGATCTCCTACAACTTCTAAGGAGAACGTTTTCCTAGTCTGTTTAAGATTGCATATGAAAAAAAACAAGCTTTATTAAAACAAGCTTCTGAACGAATGCTAAACCAATGCACTGAAACGGAATTGACCTATAAGACATCATACTTTCACATTAACATTTTCGGTGACATGGTTTGCTCAATAGAAACTATAGTTATACAGTAGATTTCCTTAATTCTGTCGGAATAATTTTACTATTTTTTGTTTCAATTAGTGTGCAACTATTATACATCCGATCAAAAATATTTTTATATTTAGGTAATCTCTGGATTCTCCTCTTTCAAATGATATATTATTCGTCTTTCATTTGTCGTGTTTTCATACTGAAATTAGCGGTCTACGAAAAATAGTTTCACCTGACAGAATTCGGTGGTAGTTCCCTAATCCTGTCGGCCAGCAAAAAAAATTCCCTAATTCTGACGCCGCTCTCTAATAAATTACATAGAAAAATTCAATTTTAGGAAAAAAAACAATTTTTCTCATTTTTTTAATGAGAAATGGAGGGAAGGTATCTAAGACATTTTTGTAGAGCGCATCAAGCTCTATCATTATCTAAAGGTTCAAGACAATTGTATTTTCTTTTATTAAGATACAAGTCTTGCAATGAAGACACCCAAAGATCATGGAAAAAAAATTGTCCCTAATTCTGTCGCCCAGCTATTTTTTGTCCCTAATTCTGACGGTTCAGCTAATATTTGTCCCTAATTCTGACGGTAACTGTTTTCACCCCCAGTTATGACTTTTCAATCATTTTTTGTCCCTAATTGCGATGGTAACTATTGTTTTCGTCTTATATTATAAGGAGCAACTATTCCAGTGACGATACTTCAGTAAAATATTAGTATACATGTATACTAATATTTTAGGCACTAGTACAATTCGTCGCACGACAATTCGTTGCGTACAATTCGTCGCGAACAATTCGTCGCACGATCAATTCGTCGCACGACAATTCGTCACAAAACAATTCGTCGCACATGTATTGTAGAGAATACATTGATTGAATTAAGTCATTTAGTTTAAAATGTTATACAATTAATCGCCTTAAAAAAAACTT